GAAATGTCTTTTTTTTATTTTTGATTATAAAATTAATATAATTGTAAATAATTTATCATGAACAATTTAACATTATTAATATTAATCAAACATTATAGTTTTCAACAGATAGAAATTCCACTAATGGATTTCTGAACGTGTCAAAAGACTGGTTCGACAAACGCAAGATGAAATCGACAAGATCTATTGCCGAATCAATATTTTCGCTTCGAGCTTATTCTGAATCATTCGCTTAAATCGTTATTAATCCTTGTGATTTTTAACAAAATATATATCATTATATATCAATATCAAAACAAAACTTTGAAATAGACTTATATGCGTAGAAAATCTTGAAATCTACAAAATACCAAATACGGTAAAAAATAATTAATATAATATTAGTTAATCGTTCGAATATTTGCATTTAATTATTCAATAGTTTTATCTAATGAGAAAGAATCGGAATTTTTAATAAGCGATTTTCCAAAATATTTTTATATTTAAAGTATTAAATAAGAAAAAATTAAGGGAAATATTATTCAAAATTAATAAATTCCAAATAGGATATTATATACAGTTTCACAAACTGAATTTTTCATCTTTCCGAATTATTCATCGAATTCTAACATTTTTGTGTTCAATTAACAGATCCATTTAGTTGTATAAGTAACTTAATATCCGGTAAGAATTGCAGTATTCGTTTTGTTTATACTCATTAAAACATGACTGCCCGAAAAGCTAATTGTTTATTAAACAAGAAAAAAAAAATGCGCATACGAAAAATGAAAAGCAATATAGTAAAACGTATGCAATTAAGTACAAAAACAAAAAAAAGCGAGCGATATAAAATTCATAAAACTACGTTTACTTTAATCAAGTTGAAAAGTTTTTTCAATCAAGAATTTATGATTGATTATATTGAAAAGAATTAGACTGCCTCTTCTCAAATCTTCTAAAACAATGGTGCTATTATAGGTTATTTAAAAAGAATGAAATTAAGCATGAGTGAAGACATAATTTAGAGCCAACTCTAAAATTTCATCCTTTCAATTCACTTTTTATTATTAAAATTTCATTGTTAGAAGAATTGTTTTCTACAATAGATACATATTAATTTTTTTTCTAAATAAAATTATCAATTTTATTTTAATAAAATATATTGTAAATTATGAAATTATAACTATAAGACTTATTCAAAGATAGCGACATTATCAAGGAAGAACTATTTAAAATATATTATTTAACATTCGATTATTTTATTAAATATTAAAATTTTTATTAAATATAATCTCTCTTAAGAAAAATATATTTATTATCGAAAAAAGTATAATCATATGAATATCATCATTAAATGTCTATGCAAATAAATATTCAGATAAAATATATTTTTATTTATTAATATTTTTATCAAAAGAAAAATGTTCTTTTTACATAGTATAAAAATATAGTAGAAAACATTTTTCTAATGATATAAATAAACAAATAGAATAAATAAAAAATAATAAAGTTTAACAGAAATCCAAACATGAAAACATTTATTCTTAACAGTTAAGTTATATTAACAAAAAAAAAAATTGTAAAAACGCGAAACAAATTCGTGAACGAGACGCATTTCCTTATTGCATGAAACAATATTTTGCCACTGCCATATAAAGTGTTCATCGAATTAGTATAACGATATTCAACATCAAAAAATTAATTGTCATTTGATTTGATAGCAACAAAAATAAAATTAAAATAAAGTTATTATATTTAAATTTTATTAAAAATTCTCATAAAAACTTGAAAAATCATGACAAAATTTTATAAATAAATATATATTTCATTTAATATTTTATCGTATAATTTCTTATAATAATTTCGTTTTTGTACTTGTTACTTTTTTTTTTCATTTATATTTGTTACTTTTTTTTTTCTCATTTATAAGACATTATATCTAAGTGAAATAAAATATCATTCATATTCATTTTAATTATTATTATTAATTTTTTATAAATATACGAATGTTATACTAATCCGAGAAACACTATATCTTTATATTTTCATGTTTTCTATATATATATTGAATATTGAATATAATGAATAAATTTTTCTGCATCAATCTCATATTCAAAGAGAGTAAAAGCAGAAAAAAAATGAAAATATAGATATTGTTTAGATGATATATAGAATGATAGAGGTATATAGAATGATACATTACAATAAAAAATCATAATTTGATTTTAGTATTTTGCAATTTTAGTGACGCGTATAATAATATATGCATATTATAGGCGAGCTATAATTTAGCATGATAGTGTAACGTATTTTATGA